AACTGGAGTTTTAGTTTCTGATTTCTTGAGGAGAACACAGCTTTGGAGAGGATTTGCTGAGATGGATTGAAAGCAGACAGGCAGGGCAGAGTTGGAGCTGTTTCCTACAGAGCCTCCCAGCCCCCAATCCCGTCTCAGCCCCAACCCAACTTGTGTTCTGTCCCATGGTCCTCACCCTGTACCCACGTCACTGTCTTCCCCATCCTATGCCCATATGGCCTCACTCAGGGAGGGGCCCTGGTGGGGCTGGCCACTCCTGGGAGGCTCAATGGAAAGGTCTTAGTCCTGGAATCATCATTTCTGAAAGCCAGCAGGCTTCTTGCCTGTTGGGATGAACCCAAGGCCTTGTATGAGGCTAGGACTCTACTACTGAGCAACAGTCCTAACTGACTGCATTATTTTACTATTATTATTATTATTATTATTATTTTATTATTATTTAAAATGGATTCTTGCTATGTTGGTCTCAGACTTCTGCACTCAAGTGGTCCCTCTGCCTCAGCTTTTCAAGTAGCTGGGATTGTAATGTGCACCATCACAACTGGCTCCCCTTGGTTTTGTGGGGTGTTAAAATAGGCCTCTAATTCATATGTACAGGTTCAGGGTGCTTTGCTACCAGTGGGGGGTAGCTAATTCTTGGTCATACAATGATGTCATCTAAGATCCAAGGACCCTGCTACATCCTTAGGATGCCATCCAGCACACCTGTGGCAGAGTGATTCTTCTGCTTTCTCATCTGAGGCACTTTGCCAATTCTGAGGTCAGGGATTGAGCCATTGGAATTTGGGAGGGGGCTGTGTTTCCCAGAACTCTCCCCACGATGATTGGTATGGTTGCTTTGTGACTCAGGCATCCCTTGGGGAGTCCTTTGAAAGCACTAATAGCACCCTACAGGAGGGGCTGGAGCCGAAACTTCTTCGGAGGGCCTTGGTGAGTACAGAAACTCGTATGTGAATGTCTTAGCAGTGGGCACAGTTGCCCACATGTAGACTACTAGCAGATGGTGGTGGGAATGGTCACAGCCATCCCATCTCCCTGCCCTCAGTCTGCAGACTGGGAGTCCAGTCCATGCAGTTTCACTCACCCAGGCAACCGCATCAGAGGAGGTATTCTTGGTCCCCTGCAGCATCAGTAAGCCCTGCTGGGTGACCGTGGCCCTGGAGCCATCCAGGTGGACAGTGGGTGGATGTGGGGTGCTGATGATCAGTCCCAGGCTCTCTCTGGTCACATTATGAACCTGAATTAAGTTAAAGCAGAGAAGGTAGAGGGAGAGTCAGAAGACAGACCCTGGCTTGGAAGGGTGGGAACAAGACCCTCTCATGAAGTAGGGCACTGGGTTTTTCTTCTAGCCCTACAGCATCTTGCTGTGTGGCTTAGGGGAAGTTACTTGGCTCCTCTGAACTTCTCTGAGGTAAAATCACATCCTTCTTGTCCTGGGCATGCACAGTGCTGTGCTGGTTTTGGGAGTTAGAGTAATGGATCTACCTCCGAAAGCTGTGTAGCCTGAAACAAGATTCTTAATCCCTCTGTGCTTTACATTTTTCATTCTTGTAAAATAAAGGCAAGAACCGTACCAACTCCACAAAGTTTGTGTGGATTAGATGACTCACTGATGTGCCGTGCACGAGAGACATTAGCACCTACAGTACTACAGGCTGTAATTGCTGTAATTGTTTGCCCATCTGGTGAGCACAAAGTTTTGTAGAGTTCAGTGCATTCAGATTCTAGAGCAGGGGCTGGGTTCAAATCAGGTTCTTGTA